AGATATCAACTTTAAGAATGCAGATTATCTGTGACATGCAATAAAATGAACTACTGTAAGTCAAAGTCAGCCACAGATTCATACTGACCGGATTTTGAAGCTTCACCTCAACCATGTCTTTCTTAGTATTGCAGGTCTCATTCCCGCTGCCTTCTAGATGCTGAGACCCATAACAGAAGCACATCCCCTCACAGTATGGCACATAAAGAGGATAGCCATTGAGACCAATCGACCCTGAGATTCATAATAGCCTGCTTTGATAAAAGGCAATTCCTCAGGCAGTTCGCTTACATGTCAGGAGAAGGGTAGTAAGGTCTTACCTGCATGATATACATAATCTCAATCAAAATGTTGGCTTCACTAAGCCTAGAAACCTTATTAATAGGCAAAAATATAATCAAGGCCTTCTCATTAAATTATTCAAGAAACAAAGGTTTATATGAATAAACAAGAGTAGATAGTATGTTCTGAATAAATATAGTCATGTAAGAATCCATGAAATATCATTGTATACAACCATGGATGCACCTATTTGACAGGTAGTTAATGACTTTGTCTCAGTAAGATGATGTGAAACTGGTTAGCACCATTCAAAAAGAAATTGACTTCTCTGTGCCCTCATCGCCAATCTCTGAATTCTTTTTAAAAGAATTGATTCTTAAAAATCCAGAATAAAAAAGAAAGAAAAGACCAATCTCCTAGTGTAAACAGATACTTGCCTGCAGACAAATTTATGAAAACATTATCAGTTCCCGTCTTGCTAGAAGTTCAAAGTTTGGCACGATTCTGCACCAAACAGCTGTAGTTGCATGACCAACGTCTCTGGATTAAGATTCACCACGGACATTGAAAGCCATTCTTCTCACTGCATCATTTTCAGCTCATTCAAGGGGAAGGTATGAAAATAAACAATGATAAACTATCACCCTTTAGCTTCGTTTAATTCCCCAAGGACTTCACCTGGAAGATTCATGGTCAACATGTCATGTGTTTGAGGACTGATGCAACAGTGCATTTCCTGCATGATAGAAAACATCTCAGAAAATACATTGGCATGTCCTTCTCTAAGTACACCTTCAAGTAGAATTTTCCATGCAATTTCATCAGAATTATAGCCTCTTCCAAGTGATTCACGAAAAACTAACTTAGCCTTCTCATAGTCTCCTTCACTACAAAGCCCCAAGAGAAGATGTCGGTACGATTCCAGATGGGGTGTATAACCATGTTTTACCATGGAACCTATATATTCTGCTGCCTCCAAGAACAGCTTTAGTTTGCAACAACAGTTAATGAGAGAGGTGTAGATGTCTTCATTGGGAGGTAGACCTCCTTCTGTCATTCGAGAAAAGAGCCATTTAGCTTCTTCCCATCTTTCCACTCTGCAGAATTCTGAAATTAAGACATTGTAAGTAAAGACATTAGGAGCACAACCGATTTTGTTCATTTCTTCCAAAAGCTCGACAACACTGTCCATTTCCACCAATTTCAGCATATCAACAGTATGCATATAACCACTAACAGACTGCTTTCTTTTGAAAATATGCCGGAGCAAAATGGAGTAAGTCCAGCAATCAGGCTGACATTCACTAGTAATCATTTGCTTGAACACAGAAAAGGCACGATCTATATATCCCATATTACCATAACCATCTATCAAGGAGTTATAGGTCATAGAATCTGGGAGAATCCCTTCTTTTTCCATTTCCAACATCACATTTTCTGCATCCTCCATCTTTCCTTCACTGCAGTAGGCTCGTATAAACACAGTATAGGTGACTACAGTGGGTTTATGGCCTAAAGAAACCATTTCATCAAATATAGACTTAGCAGATCCAAGGTCCCCTTCCTTTAGACTCTCATCAATAAGAATTGTATACATTACAGCTGAGGCCCTTCCTTGCTTTTCAGCTATTTCCAATAAGGATATAGCTACTTTCAATTTCTTTTCTCTGATCAAACTATCCATCAAAACACTGTAAGTGTAAGAATCTGGTACAAAGCCCTCAGAGACCATTTTCTCCACATATGAATCACCAGCATCGATATTTCCTGCTTTGAGTAAACCATCTACAAGTGCTGTGTACATTACCTCATTTGTCTTTATGTCCTTCCCGACAAGAGAGTCAAAAAGAAGTCGAGCTTCTTCAATTCTTCCACCTTTGCACAGAGAGTCTATAAAGATTGAATATGTCTGTTGATCAGCAACCAAACCGTTTGCTTCCATAGCATCGAGCAATCGAAATGCACTCTGTATATGGCCCTCCTTGCACTGCCCCTGAATTAATTGGGTGTATGTAACAAGATTCGGATGTAATCCATTCTCAAACATTTTACTCAATAGAGACATTGCTTTATGAACTTTCCTCTCCCTACAAAATCCATCTATCAGATTATTATAAGTCCAAGCATTTGGCTGACACCCATATGACTCCATCAATTTAACAACACCCAACGCATCACCAACTTTTCCCTTCTTGCAATAACCATCAACCAACACAGTGTAGGTTTCTACACTAGGAACCAATCCTTTCTCGAAAACCTCATTAAACATTTTTTTTGCCTCATCTAGCATGTTTCTTTTACACAAACTATCAATCATAACTGTATAAATGCAAGCATCTGGTTCGGAGCCATTCAGCTCCATCCATTTCAAAAGCCGGGACGCTTTGTCTATTTTCCCCATCTTGCAATATGCATCGACCAAGGCAGTATAACTAAAGATGTTCAGAACTAAACCTTCCTTAAAAGCCGCACTCAACATGGCTTCTGCATCTTCAATCCTGTTCTCCTTACAAAGGCAGTGAATCACCATTGCATGAGTCCAACTATCCGGCTTGGTCCTGTTCGACTCCATCAAGTCCATAACCCTAAAAGCATCCTCAACCATCCCTTGTTTACAACACCCATCAATCAAAGTATTAAAAGTTACCACATTTGGTACCAAACTTCTAATAGACATCTCATTTAACAGCTTTTCCGCTTCCTCAAGCTTACCTTCTTTACAAAGACTGTCAATTATCACCGTATAAGTATGAACATTGGGTTGACATAGATCGTCAGCCATCATCCTAGAAAACAACAAAGAGGCACGATCAACCTGACCATTCTCAAGCAACCCATGAATGAGAATAGTGTAAGAAAATTCATTCCTCTGACAACCCATTTCCACCATATTCACAAAAACCCAACAAGCCCTGCTAAAATCCCTAGCTTTACAGTACCCCAAAATCAAGGAATTGCAAGTAAACGTATCCGGACTAATCCCCAGCTTCACCAACCACCTCAAATACTTTCTCGCCTCAATCAAAGCCCCTTCATCACAATACACCTTCATCATCGTATTGCACGTCACAATATCAGGCGAAACCCCATCTTTCACCATCCAACAGCAAACATTCCTCATATCGTGAACCATTTTGAACCTCGCCATCGACATCAACACCAAATTAAAAACTTTAAAATCCGGTCTGAACCTCGACGGGCTTACCCATCGAATCGAGCGCAGAGCAACCGCCAAATACTCTTCGCACGCCACTTTGATCCTCTAATCAACGCAGATTCGCATCCCCCCCTCCAAAGGGTTATCAGAATCAAGAAGAAGCTTGATGAGGGAAGCGTAGGAATGGACAGAATGGGCGAAATCAGGCCGCTGGGCGATCCAATGGAAGAAAACCCTGGCGTTCTGGGGGTCTAGGGTTTGGGATTGGAGGAGGTTGGAGACGTGGTCTGGGGTTAGGAAAGGGGCCAGGGTTCTCAGTGAGGGGTTTTGGTGCCAATTTGGGCGGGAGAGGATTGAAGGGAGCTGGGAGAGATTGGGGGGTTCTAGTGTTTGGGATTTTGGAGGAGGAGACGAAGGGATTGGGTAGAGGCGATTTGGCCATCTTCTTCGTTTCATGGCGAGGGCTAGGGTTTAGGGTTTTAGGGTTTTGGGATTTTGAGGGGTAAACGAAGAAAAAATTTTAGTAGCCGGGAGACCTTAGTTTCCACTGTTGACACTGCTAAACTCGCGCTCAAAGTGCGGATGTCTTTTTGGTTAATTTTAGATATAATTTCTTTTGTACCTCCCAAGCACCGGGGGCATCTAATTATATTTTATATTTTAGGCGTGGGCAAACCGTGAGACTCACTGAGGGTAACGAATTATTTAGTTCAAACCATTGTCAAAATCGACCCGTCAATGTTACATTTGAGCCTTAGACTTATCTATTTAATCCACTAAATTTTTTACTCATTTTCAGATATCGGACTATTCACACTTGGGGGGCATCGCTGACTATGAGAATGATCGATAAGACAATCCTAATCCATTCAAGAGGGGACAAGTTTTGATTGACTCCATGTAGCTTGACCAAGCAAAATGAGAAAGGAACATTCCTTTCTCATCACGGTGTAGTGGTTATCATTCACCTCCTTCAGCTGATTTAGTAAAACATCAAATGTATGATTATTGGTCAATATGCAACCGGTCTTTTGCTGGTAATATATGGATTCCATTTGCAGAGAAGAAGGGAATTCTTAAGCCTATTTTTTAAAAATTTAAATAGAAAAAGGAAAGACTAGATATGTCCAATGACAAAAATCAAGTTGATGAAGATGAAGCTGACCGCGGAGACTTGTATGATCTGCAAAGTTCATCATGTGCAAGTTAATTGTAAAGGCTTTGTTTCAGGAAAACCCCCTTAGCTTTGAACGATTATAAGATAATCCCCACAACTTTCAAGTTCAGGGGTTATGAAAAAAAAATAGCTTCCACGTTAGACTTTTTATCTTTTCCACTGTAAAATAAACAATAGAAAAAGTTCATTTTTCACTCATTATCATTGATAATACAGAGAGCGGTTATGGTTTACGTTAGGTCGTAAAGTTAGAATGAAAGATATTGAAATTTCACTGAACTTCCAAGATTAATCAGTGCAATACGAACCCCTTAATCTTGTAGGTTGACAAAGTTGCGATCTAAAATCTTGAAATTTCAAACACTTTCAAGGAGAAAAGAAAACTAAGAGTACAATTCCTTTGCTAATAATAGATTCATATCGTGTTGATCCGAGTAGGCTTTACACTGGTTTTACTTGTCAATAACAACATCAACGTATGAAATAGTACAATCAGAAATCAGAGCATAAAAATAAATAGCTTCCATCTAAGTTTTACATTAATATTGTTCGCCAGAACACGACAGTTCGATGCTGAGATATATCAGAGAATTTCAAGCAATTTGAAGAGAGCTGCAACATTCAAACTGATGCTGTTAAGTCCCATTACAAATGTAGTCAGCTTAAGCAGTGGTCCTTTCAAAATAGTTAATCTGATATTATCTTCTTTTTTTTTTCCCTTTGCAGTTAATCAACTATCTTCAATTTTCTGGCAAATGCCGAAAAAAAATCTTCGCATACGATTTTTCTAAAAGTTGTCTAGAAGAATATAATACAATACAAACCGATCAGAGATATTAAACAAACTAATCCTTTTCGTTTCTTCTGTTGTATCAGTGTCCACTGCACTGCTAGATGAACTAGATGTCCCTCGAACTGCAAATCTGCAAGCAAAAAAGTATAGCAAACACAATTTTCCTTTCAGATCATGACATGCCAAATATAATGCTGAATACTCTATTGCACAGTTTTAGATAGCGTGACAGAGAGATAATATTGAGATAATGATTAATGTGCAAGAGAGAAGCAAATATTATGCTTTGTTGCCAAGGATTAGCAAATATTGAAGCTGTCTAACACAGAAGGATAAAGAAGGGGATTTTAACAGGAAACTCAATGAGTTCCTTTCATAAACTAGAAAAAAATCAAATTATTACTTGATACGTCACTCAAACCAACTCTTTAATGTGATATAACATAGGAGGGATAATGCATGCGGATAACATTTTACCATTTGTGGGTAACAGGTTGCGTATTTACTCAACGGCTGAGCAAGTGTACAGCGATATTCCTGTAAATTTACTTGCTTACCCAGTTACTCAAGCGCTTACTCCTAACAGTTCATCTACATATGTGTAGCGTACTTGCTATATTCTTATCAACTTGTTTGTTCCATTTGCTTCAAAGTCTAGGATTTCTTCTTAACCATCTACCCAATGTTACGGACCTGTTTATAAGCTTAGGGATGCATGCAAATAATGTAAATATGTGCAAAGATAAAATAAAAGTAAAATAAAACTTACAAAAGGATTTCATACGTGTTCCCTACTACCATTATTTAACGAAGTAACGGTACTTTCACCAAGTATGAAAAATTGAAGACTCAAAAAAGAATGGTACCATTTAGCTTGTACAAGATAATGCAATCAGTTAATTAGTTGGTAATTCATCTAAACCTTGCTCCTGCAGGCAGCGAACAATAGGGCTCCAGAAAAAATGTGTGTTTAGACTAGCACGTAACATTTTAGATTAGTTTCAGTAACAAATTTAATAATGCCAAGAATCATTGTAAGGAGCTATTAAAACTCCTAGGCATCGAGAGCATAATATAAAATATAGCTGATGTTCCACAGAAAATCAAAGGAAGCTGCAGTCAGCATGAGAATTGTCTATAACATGCCGAGATATACATAAGAGTTTAATCTTTTTGATATTTTTATATGGTTGGAAATTTTACCTGATTACACAACCTAGTAAACAGACCCAAGTACTCACGTGTAGGGCATGGATCAAAATTCTAGACCTGTAGAATTATCTGGATATAATCGAGCCTGAACTCTACCCAATCGTTTTAAGATAAGAACTCTTAACCAATCTTAACTGAACCTACAAGCATGGGGCATATATTTAAGCCAACAAACCGCTACTAAGACCCGACCAGACCCCCCAAACTTTGCCAGGTACCTGGAACAAATCCTATAAGAGTACTATGGGTTTAATATGCAAAGGTACGGATGTATTTTGTAAATATGGGATTAGACTAAAAAGATACAAGGTATATCGTGATTCAACTTGTAAATATCTACAAATTTATAGCAACGGACATTTTTTTCCTTTAAGTCTAAATACTTATTCAGTTATTTGGCATCCACGCTTAAATAATCAAACTAAAAATATTCCTATTTGGAGTTCCATTCATCAAAACACCCAAAAGTATCAATAGCAAATTCAAAAAAAAATTGTAGAAGCTACAATTATTTTCTTTATTATCAAATGTAAAATTAGTTGATGATTATATTTCCTTTCTGTTATATTAGATTAAATCCATTATAAAATAGAAAACCGAAGTTATAAGCACTGCGTAGGGTGTGATATACTTTTTCGTATATCTGAACCCGTAAGTCAATGGGTATTAAGAATCTGATCTAACCCTGGTTGTTCCTGACACAGTACCTCACATATAGAATTAGGATCACGGTTCTGAACCTGATGCTCCCAAGGTTCAGTGTGGATATACAGAATCAAGAACCTGACTGACCTGACATCATTAATGTTTAATGGCAACTACCAACTTCTCAAAAAATATTAAGCATATACGTGTATAATAATATAAAAAGTCCCCTGAAACAAGAGACCAGCTTATGTTGATCAAGGACTAATTGGTAAGTGCAACGATGTAACAACTTACATCAATAAAATTTGAGCTGGAAAAAAAATTTGTGTAGATTACCTAACCAGTCAATATCCTCTATGTTAGGACTGTTTGAACAAATGACGAGCCAACATCTCTGGTATCCCCAAGGCAGGTACTTTTTCACTTCCAAATAGTTGTTGAAGCTTTGAGTCGCATGATACTGACATTTTATTCTCTGGATCCTATGACCAATCAATATTAAACAGAAAGCAGGTTTAACACAAAATTAAATCTTAACTCTGGATATCATTTAAGAAAAAAAAAGAATTAAGATAATATTTTTTCTCCAAGGGTCCAGAATGCAAAAGTCCTTTCAAGTCAATAAACTCCTATTTGTCCTTTTAGATCATAAATTTGTAATAAACACAGAAAACACATCTTAATATGAAGAATAGCAAAAAGAAAATGTGAAAAGATAGGAAAAAAAGTATAAAAATAAAATGTACATGAATACGGGTTGTTAAAAACATGTACAAGAAATCAACAAACTTCTTGAAGTTCAGACAATTAATCATTTCGTCCTGGGTCTAATCACATGATGACTTGTGCGCGAAATAGAAGTATTTTATTTGAGGTTCAAGTCTACTTTGTAGTGCCACAACAAAGCCTTTATGCCAAAATTGTTGGGGTCACCCACATGAATCTTGTTCTCCCACTCAGTTTTGTTAAGTGTTACCTGCACCATTAAGTTAAAGACAATCGCATCCTTCCTTTTTTAGTAGTATCCAGCTTTGTCATTCCCTCCTGGGTCTAATCACATGATGACTTGTGTGCGAAATAGAAGTATTTGAGGTTTAAGCCTACTTTTTAGTGCCACAACAAAGCCTTTATGCCAAAATGGTTGGGGTCACCTACATGAATCTTCTTCTCCCACTCAGTTTTGTTAAGTGTTACCTACACCATTAAGTTAAACACGATCGCATCCTTCCTTTTTTAGTGGTCTCCAGCTTCTAGCCTTCTTGCGCCTTAAGTATAATTTTGGTTTTTTCAGGGAAACCACCTTTAAAATACAGCGACAATACAAAAACTGCTTTTAAAATTCAATTAATACAGAAACCATCTTTAAAGAGGGTTCTAGTAGAAATCAACCACCTTGACCTATTTCTTGGTGAAATTTCGATTGAAATCCTCAAGTATTTTGTTCTCACATTCCAACCTTTTGATTCCATCTTCCGTAACTCAATTTTTTGCCTGTCTTCGTAAGCTCAACCTACAATTTTTCCTTCCCAGCCAGAATCATATTCAACATTAAAGGTCAAGTGATTGATTGCTACTGCAACCCTCTATAAAGGTGGTTTTTGCATTAATTGAACTTTAAAGTTGGTTATGTGAAAGGGGAAAAAAACCCTTATAATTTTATCATGTTTCCTAGTTGGTGCAGTCATTGCCTCTATTACACATAACCAGAGTCCCTCAATCGATTCTCTCTCTCATTTTGTCCTTAATTTAAGGGCAATCTCTAATTCCCTGTGAATGCACTCATTTTTTTTACCCCATCTATTAGTGTATATTCACATGTCTGTTGTAACTTTCGCGTTTCTGCTTCACTCATTCTTTGCACATGTTGTTGAAGGTCTCGACTCCACTTTGTGGAATACCATAAATATTCATCATGTAAATAGAAAATTATGTTCTGACTGGGCCTGTCATGCATAAACACTTCTCCAGTCTAATATCAATTTTCATTTTAGAATTTTTAAATTATAGATAGAAGGCGAATATGATGCTTGCTACTGCTACACTTGCAAAGGACTCCCATTGCCCTCTGAAAGCAACCTTTTTCGAAAATTTTGGCATTTATAAAGCCATTACAATGATTGGTCTACCATCGACGGGTGGCGCAAAGGGAGTTACTCGGTGCCATTTTCTACAGGGAACTAATAATTGTATTGTGTTTTGTTCTCAGGGAACAATTATAAGATAACTGGTCAATGACAAATAGACTGCAAATGTTTGACAAGGCTTTGGTTAATTTGGTCACCAAATGCCAAGGCAGAGCACAAGATTTGAAGTCATGCACAAAAATTGTAAGGGGTTACTTTCGAGGGAAAAGAACCCACACTATGTTCTGTAGAAGATGTTTGACATTTGTAAATATCAAACCTCACATTAGTAACAACTGGTCCATGAAACATCGGAATAAGTTTCTAATAACCATAGTTTTCTAGGATACGATTTTCATATTTTTTAGATTTTAAATGGGATGCAGAGCTACCTAAAACTTAATCATTAAAGACTCAACTTCACCACCTTTGACATCCTCATCTTGTCATACCTATGTGAATAATAATGTGAATAGCTGTGACACAAAACCAAGATGAAACGCCATCAAAAGAACTACCAGAACAATGAAACAACTTTTTGAGCGGTCATCAAAATCAAATGTGTGAATTATTACCAATCAACCTCTGAAGAAAACATGGTACGGTTATAAATTGTAGACAACTGATTGGTCACACAAGTATCCAGCAGTTTAAGCTCATTGCAGATATATTTGTTACTTGTAGTTAGCATATATATGACAGTGTTACTCTTGTAGCTTCACGATGAGAAGCTAAGGGGAAGTGTTCCTTATTACAAATTTCACCGCTTCCTTTGACATTTTAATATCAAAAGGAACACAATGCAGTAACTAATCATGCACATCATTGAGAGTTGCTTGTTAGCTGTAAAGTTTTCATCAGTTGCTCTGATAACGTTGGGGGCTGAGTAGAGTGTACAACTTATCGAGTCTATTTTATTATTGTAACTGAAAATGCACTTGGGATCAAAAATGAACTTTCATAAATTTAAGAGAAAAGCAAGTCTAGTTTGTATGTACAAAACAGTTGTTATTGATTAAAAGAATGACAATGGAAAGCATTTGACTGACCATACCAACCTCCAGATTGTTAGCCGTTATGTACTCCAAAATACGCCTTAAAGCCTCTGGTTCAAGCATCTCTCTTTCACCTGTTCCGAAAAATTCAGCCAGTGCATCTGATATAAACACAGGGTATTCCTTAACATCAGCTGACGTTGAAGAAACTGCTTCAGGTTCAGCACTAGACTTCAACCTTTTAGAGTCAGGAACAGAATTTCCTGCAGGGATTGAAGCAGACCCAATATCGGTACCGCTTTGATTATATTTTAAAAATAAGAAAAAATAAAAAAATACTAACTCGTCGGTTGAAGTGTTATGATATGCTTTGTTAACAGCTTATTCATCTTGAACATGTCAGTACAATCAGTTTCAAAAACAAGGCGGAGTTCATCATTGCATATTATCTTTCTTTTATTGTTAGGATCTTGGAGATTATTCCTTCTGATGTATGCCCATAGCTGCTTCACAATCTGAAAGCAAAAATAACCACTTTAACATCTCCAAATGAGCCAAAAACTATTGGGGGTCTTTGGTAACCCCTCAAAACTGGCTCAGGATCGATCCAGGCTAGGTTTTAGTGTGTTTTTGTGTTTAGCAAAAACTAGACCAGGATTGGTCTAGTGTTTTTTAGTTCAAGGTTTGGCACTAAACCGGTTCTATTTTGTTCCACCTATATCTAGTCCATAACTAAAGTGGTTTAGTGGATACCAGTTTAACTCAAGTTTGTCAAACTGGACCTTACTTTATGGTCTCTGTGAATATGTGTGCGCACAAATACACATATACTCAAAAATAGGTTTGATGGTTATGAGGCGATGTCTCATTTTGTTAAATGACCTACCAAGAAATAAAAGTTGCTGAGACCCACTCATTCAATGTGACTAATATAATAGTCATGTCTATCTCTTGATAGTTCATTTAGCAAAATAAACTATCTGCGTGCGTGTGTGTAGGGTAATTTGCAGGTAACACCCCTTATTTATACCTTTAATTAAGGTTTTAAACATTGGATATTGGGGAAATATTGGATGGCCAAATTTCATATCGGAATTGCAGATATCAGGAAAACACTGGGATATGTGATAAATATCGGACTGCATATATAGTATAATGCACTAAAATGTAATCTTAACATATTTAATAAAATCTAAGCAAAAAATATAAATAATATATGTCTAGGATCACTAATCAACCTTCTAAAACAAACAAAAGTACAAATCAACATTGTAACATTTTGTCTAATTTTTCAAGGCCAATATGTCATTTAATATAATGGGAAAATCATGATATGTCGCCCAAAAATTGCCAAACTCGGTATATTGTTGTGCGACAAGGCATACAAAAGGATATATTGGTCAACATATCGGCTGATGTATCGGCCCTACCGGGAATATATCTCCCTCCCCCCCCCCAACAAAAAACAAAAAAACAAAATAACTTATCTATTAATGCTTAGCCCCTCAATTCATAAGGTAGGAAAGTGTTATTTGCAATTTATCTTTCTAAAAATGGCAATAGAGGGGTGCTAAGTGCTAATAAAGGAATTGAGGGAAGTTATACAATGTGTGTATACACAATATTATTTGCAATTTATCTTTCTAAAAATGGCAATAGAGGGGTGCTAAGTGCTAATAAAGGAATTGAGGGAAGTTATACAATGTGTGTATACACAATATTTTCTAAAAATGGCAATAGAGGGGTGCTAAGTGCTAATAAAGGAATTGAGGGAAGTTATACAATGTGTGTATACACAATATCAACAAAAAACAAAAAAACAAAATAACTTATCTATTAATGCTTAGCCCCTCAATTCATAAGGTAGGAAAGTGTTATTTGCAATTTATCTTTCTAAAAATGGCAATAGAGGGGTGCTAAGTGCTAATAAAGGAATTGAGGGAAGTTATACAATGTGTGTATACACAATAT